CTTTTTTCGAGAAAATAGATGAAATTAGAAATTATACCAAGCTTAACGTTCCTAAATGTTCTAATCTCTTACATTTAAAGAACTTCGAACCCACTATTTACTCTTCATATTATACGATACCCACAACAGCTTTATTACGCTTATTTCGAGAAAATGGATTAAATTAGAAATTATGTCAAACTCAAATATTCCTAAGTGTCTAATCTCTTACACTTAAAGGACTTTGAATCCACTATTTCTCCTTGATATTATGCGATATAAGAAACATTATTTATTACGTTTATTTCGAGAAAAGGGATCAAATTAGAAATTATGTCAAACCTAAGCATTCCTAATGGTTCTAATCTCTTACGCTTAAAGGACTTCGAACCAACTATTTTTTCCTGACATAATACGATATCCATATATTATTTATTATTATATCCTTTTTTCGAGAAAATAGATGAAATTAGGAACTATACCAAAGCTTAACGTTCCTAAATGTTCTAATCTCTTACACTTAAAGAACTTCGAACCCACTATTTACTCTTCATATAATACGATATCCATAATATGATTTACTACCCTTATTCTGAGAAAATGGATGAAATTAGAAATTATATCAAAGCTTAACGTTATTAAATGTTCTAATCTCTTACATTTAAAGAACTTCGAACCCATTATTTACTACTGATATAATACGGTATCCATAACATTATTTATTGCTCTTACTTCGAGAAAATGGATCAAATTAGGAATTATGTCAAACCTAAACTCTCCTACGCGTTCTGATCTTTCACACTTAAAGAATTTCGGACCTAGTATTTACTCCTGATATAATACGAAATTCATAATATTATTGAGTGCGTACGGGTTCATAATAGATTTAATGCCCACAAGTCAGGTGATAGGTTAATAACATTTATTTTATCAAGAGAAAAACTTGAAAGTTCTGGAAATCTCCACAAAAATACTGATACAGTTCTTTACAGCATCCTACTAAGAACGTTAAACACAACGCTATGCAAGGCGCAGCTAAAGAGCGAAGCTAAGCCGGAGCTAGTACTCGGAACTCACGCTGAGATAACAGCTAACAACTACAGCTGAGGGCAGATGCTCTCACCGGCTTTATATAATTTTTACCCGGCCACCAAGATATTTCTAGTTTTGCTTCTCGAAATTACTGGAAGGCAATATGAAGGTCGAATTAACGTTACGGCTAATATAGTGGACAATTACATATATTCAATTATTAAACAGGTGATACAGGAACCGGACTAAAATGGCGCCAGGAAATCAGTCGCCAAAATCGTCGCCAGTTTGGTGATATCTCGCCAAATTACCGGTATACCCATTTACTAAATGTTAAATTGACTTACCCCTGTATTCTTAATTTTCCTGCATAGCTTTTCTCTTCACATTTACACAGAAAAATACGACAATTTCACATATAATTACACTAAAATCATCTACCTGTGTACAATATTCGTAACAATATCATGAATCTTATTTCGTAAAAATGACTCAAATTAAGGATAACGCCAATCCTAAATGTTCCGAAATGTTCTAATCTCTTACAGTTAAAGAGCTTCGAACTCACTATTCCCCCAACTAGCACTTCTCCACAATAAATGTCTTCCGCGTCTTTTACACGGAACAAGTTTCTGGACACCCTTTCAAAGCACTTGTTTCCAGAATTTCCCTTCGAGGGAACTTTCAGGCCTAAAGTAGGTAATTAACGGTATTGGCTATATGGGATCTCACACTCACAAAAAAAAAAAAAAAAAAAAAAAAAAAAAAAAAAAAAAAGAAGGTTCAGGAAAGGAAGGGAAAAAACAGAATAAAAGATCAGATCTTTTATTCGAGAATAGATTATTCCCTTGACATGAGATCAGGAACAAAAGAGCGCTGCAGGGAAAGATTCTATAAAGGGAAAAGAGGAAAAAAACTTTTCCCTGCCAATACGGTTTAGTAGAGGAATTAAGGCACTAATTATCGACAGTCCTACGGGGACGAAAATGTTTCGCGTGAGGATTTTCGGGATTTACGTGTTGGCCAAAATCCCTAATCCGATAATATGAGTTCGAATGTCTTAGGGAATTCATATATGGGGAATGTATATTCATTACACAACAGCTTGTATTCCAGTATGCTTTCAGAAAACTTCAAAAGACTATGAGTATTAGAGAAAGGAACCTATAATTTTTTTTTTCTTCTAGAAAGATACAGCTGAGCCTATACGTGTGAAAACATATTTAGATGAAATATTTACAGTTTGTCTATGTCAAAGCTTGAAATAATATTCTCACTCTTGCAGATAATTTAATAAAAAAAAATTCTTAAAACTTTATATATATATATATATATATATATAAAAAAAAAAAAAAAAAAAAAAAAAAAAAACCACCTGAAAGCTTCCAGATTTTCTATTATGTCCAAAGGGGTATTTTTCCTACTGCACATGAGTACACGTTTCGAGAGCATTTGGGCTAAAAATATTTACAAGCAGCGTATCTTTAGAATTTCCGATAGACAGTCTCGCATGCTGGAGCTAAAACTATTTTATTCCGTACAGTGTGTTGCCGCTTCTCGCTTTGAAATCATTGAGTTTCTTAAGGAGAGTTGGAACCCGAAAATCTTCAAAAAATTGTGATTTCGGATTTTTGCATTTTCAAATTCTCTACAATTTTATCTTTCTAAAAATACCATTCTTTAATCTCTATGAAAATTAGAACTGAAAAAAAATCTAGTTTTAATTTGTCATCTACTGCTTTGATCATTTACATAAAAATGCGTTTTTCTCCAAACGTGATTTTTTTATACTCGATGTACCTTTTCCTCAGGAACTACTGCTCAAAGGTATCTAACTTTTTATGGCTTATTTATTAGGTTTCCCCTAATTTACTGAAATGAGCTTTTTGTAATAAACTTAGAAAAAAAAAAAATAAAATTTTTTTGTGGGAGAAAATGCTGCAAATTTTTACTATGCCTAACAAAATAATCTGTAATTTACTCTAAAATTCAAAATGCTTCAAAACCTCATTTCAGTATAATCAAGATAGGTATACTTTAATTACAGAAAAAATTTCAAGCTTTATCTACAAACAGATTTTGAGAAAGGTACATCGAAAATGGCCAATTTAACATTGTCGGTATAGGGGTTTCTGATACCCCTTAATCAAAAATTCGTTAAGCTTAAAAATATGAAATTGGATAATAAAACAAATTTCAAATTCAAATTAGGGCTTCCACATGCCCAAATGTTATGGAAGTTTATGCTATTAAAATTTTGATGGCTCTAGGTATCGTTGTTCTTTTACAAAGCGAGAAATACATACACATTCATACAGATTCTTAATTAGTCCAAAGGGATTTGAATCCCGAAGGACTATTAGTTTCGTTTTGGCATTTTGCGTCGGACGGATAAATGTCGGTTCACTTTTCAAACTGTTGCCATAAAATGTTAGAGTCCTGCATTATATTTGAAGAAATTAAATAATGAAAATCTGCGTAAATGTATGTATATTTCTCACATTGTCATAAAATAACGGTACATAGAGTCATCGAATTTTGAATAACGTAATCCTCCAACGAATATGAGCATGTGGAAGACCAAATTTGAAATTTGAAATTTGTTTTTATGATCGATTTCCTATTTTTTAAAACTTTGACGAATTTTTGATTAACAAACTCAAGGATTTCAAAGCGAGCAATGGCAACGTTGTGCAGAAAAAACATTTTTATCTCCAGCGCGTGAGTCTCTGTATCGGAAATTCTAAAGATATGCTCGTTTTAAAAAAACTATTTTGCGATATTGCTGTTGCACTGGATCTTATGGTTTAAGTGCGAGGAACATGATATTTAATAAAGAAAGGTAACATACAAAAAATGTTAAAAAACGCCCCTTTGGACGTAATTTAAAATCTGAAACATTTCAGATTTTTTTTTTTATTTAATTTTTTAAATAATAGAGGGCGATAATATTTGGTGGCAAATTGAAAAGCTATACAGCCGTTTATAATGATTCAACGCAAAATGGCTTTTCGATCCCTTCTGGGTTAACGTCTCTTTGAGCTATAATTCAGAGAAAATACTAAATTATGCCAAACACATGTTTATAATTATTGATTTTACTCTAACAACAAAAACAATATATTTTGTAAATTAGTAATTTAGAATTATTCGTAGTAACAAAAAATGTGCAGTTCTAAGACCTCATTGATTCTTAGACATACCCTAATTTTAAAGAAGTTTGTAAGTGAACAAATTGTTACTTAGAATTGAAGAAATACGGTGTTTCTTGAATTAGTAGCAAATTACTATTATGAATAATAGCAATTTTTATTCATTCTCTGAAATAAAAAAAACTATCCAAATTTTTTTTTAGAAAATGCAAAACTAGTTCCCCCTTCTTCCTCGCGAAAAAAAGAAATAAATTGTTTCTGAAAACTACACTAACTTACTAAAATTTTATTAAATGTACATAAACAACATAATTCTTCGAAACTAACTGCTTCTTTTGTTAATCTCGGAATCTTATGTAACTGTTAATCTCGGAAGAAAGCAATTTCAGTTTACTTATATAAGAGTTTTATGCTTACCTAAAGTTACATAGCTCATTTGAGTCTCATTTGAGTAATGGGATTTGAGACTCATTTGAGTATGGAATTTAAGACTCATTTGAGTATGGAATTTGAGTCTCATATGAGTACGGAAATCGAGTATTTGAACATGGAGTTTCTGATTTGAGTATAGAAATTAATATAATTTATAAGGGTATTTTCTCCCTCTATTCCGCAAGCATTCGTGGTGTAACGGTAGCACACTTGAAGCGCATTCGAGAGATTCAGGTTCGAGTCCCAGCGAGGGCACTGTACATTTTTCATTTACATCTGCTTAAAAATAACCTAATGAATTTACAAGTTATTCAACAATTTTCTCCAAGAATGTAAAGCGCAAGTTAAGATCATAAAATTCACTTTTCGTTTCATTAAGCAATGATAAAAAATGTAATCACTTACTTTAGGCGCAGCCATTTCATATATGCAGCAAACAGCCAGCACAGTAACCGCCTGTTCTTTGCATAGAAGCCCTATCACTGCAAAAATTGAAGTCACTCCGCAGTCGTGCCAGACTAAAGAAAAGAAATAGTTTTACCAAATAATCAGTTTGGATCGGTTTGATTTTGACACACACACACACACACACACACACAAAAAAAAAAAAAAAAAAAAAAAAAAAAAAAAAAAAAAAAAAAAAACTGATGTGTACACCACATGACTTCCTTGTACGGAATATTAAATTATACGCATTTTTTCTTGCATTTCATTTAAACTTATTAGATTGAATTAAACCTACTTCGCCGACAGCGCATAAACCCCAATAGAATAATGCATTCTTTAAAATTCACTTTGTTTACCCTAGCGACACTCTGACGCTAGGTTTACTTAACAGTATTATATTTCGTTCATATTATAACTCAGAATGCACAAAATTTATATCATTTAAAGAATTATCTAATCGTTGCCACAAGTTCTATTCAAACACTATAATAAAGCTAGAACGATGTATAAAAGAAAGTAAGCAAACAAAACAAAAAAGAAACAGTTTTTCACAGACGATTGAGTATTTCTCATTCAATTAATTCAGTTCTCACTTCGCGACAAGGCAAAAATACATAAAAACTCAAAATATCTATATTAAAAATTACGAAGTAAATCTTAAACGCTTATTTCCTCGAAAAAATTCCAGAAAGGATTAAGCATGATTTAAATAATAAATGAAGGCGTTATCTTTGTTGTTGCGAAGCTAAGTTTCTCTATATTGGCAACAAATCCATTAGTCTCCTGTTTCAAATGTAAACATCAATAGCCGCCATTAAAAAAAGGCTTAGCAGCAATTAAACAACTTTAAAATTGCTGATAATTCTAAAAATATTGCACACAGACTTACTAAAGGCTCCGGTTAAGGTTTTTGTTAAGGTTTTTATAAACCTTAACCGGAAGATAAAAACAACATAACTGAATCATTTTTAAAGCAAAAAATGTATAATTTACAAACATATAAGAGTAAAGAAACTGAGATTACTGAGCCGGGTAACAGAGTGGGATATATATATAAATATATATATATACGTTTGGTGCGGCCGATTGCAACCAAAATACGAGGTGCACATCTACATGTTATAGCAGTCTTACATACAAAATTTCAACGTTCTGAGGCTACTCGTTTTTGAGTTATGCAAGATACGTACGAACGCACGTACGTACGTGCGTACGTACATACGTTCGTACAGACGCGACGAAAAATTCTCTTCAGAATTCATTTTAAAGCAGTTTTATAATTTTTTTGGTGGAAAAGAGTGTTTTATTCTGCCCTTACATACAGATATCACGGAATCATTTGAAAGAGGTGAAAATGGGATATTTTCATTGAAATATGCGGCCTGAAACTTTTCGCGATTACAATACTTCCTTTTTACTTCGTACAAGGAAGTAAAAAGAGATTATTGGATGAAACAAAGTTATATTTTGCAGTTTCGGATAAACGTTACTCTGGGGAACGTGGTAGGTTGTAAGAAACATCACCGTACCTATTTACAGTCTTTACCAATTTTTCGTTAGATGACTTTTTATGTACGGATAACTTTTTGTAATGTATGATACTTACACTTTTACATATAGGAAGAAACAAATTACCTGAAAATGATTGATCAGACTGTAAGACAGGACACCCTAATAAGTGCTCTGTGTAAATCGGCGACTTACTATTGCTGATTTAATACCAGTATATTTCTTTTATTGAAGAGGGATATTTCAGTATCATAAGTTTCATGAAGACTTAAATTCGTAAAATCTACGCATGTCTTCTATTTGATGCCATTATCTGCCTTTGTTTTGCTACACAGGATATTTACGAAAACCGATACAACGGCTCACACTGACGAGAAGAATCACCTTCAAGACATGAAACCCAATAGTGGCCAAGTAGTTAAGACCGCTAAAAAGCGATCGTTAAGGAAGGTCAAAAATCCAGCGCACAAATTGGCGGCATGAGGGAACTGGTGGTTTATTTTCTACATGTAGCACAAATATGAGTGAGTTTCTTGTTGAATGCCAACCAGGAAAGTTTTCCTTCCATTAGGTAGATAGTCCCAATGTTTCGTTGAATTGGATTTAACATAGCAAGTGTTTCAGAAAATCAATTGCAAACTTTTAGGAAAGATACGATACGCTTATATGATTGATAAACACAAAGCAATGCATGGTCGGAAACACATTTCTGGCGATACACACAAGTGACGATACAAAACACCAGCAAGGAAGGACACGAAGAGGGTGCGAATATATGTTTATTATGCTTAGTGCAGGCGAATCCAAGAAATAAGAACAGAAACAGATGATCACCATCAAAAAAAGGTGCTCGAAATTACGTTCGAAACGTATCTTCAACATGGGATAGGCAGGGTTGGTTTGGTGCGTTGGCCAGCACGATCGTCAGACCTCACTCGCATCGACTACCTCCTCTGGGGATATGGCAAGACACCTACTGTGCGAACCCCCGTTAGAAATGCTGAGAAAGTTGTTGTGGGCATCGTGGCAGCCATGGAGGTAGGAAAGGAAGGAGGGGCCATTCCGCGCTAGAAGTGAAGCACTGCTTTGAAGCTTGGGTCACCAGACGGGGTGTTCTTTGTTTACATTCAGAAGCTCGCTTGACAAGATTCTGATAGTATTTCGACACACGACAGTTCCATAGAAATCGAAAAAGGGACACTTCTCGCATGAAAGAAACATTCATAGTAGTGATGGATAATAGCAATTTGTATAGTTTAGTGACATTTTACGCAAAAATCACATCTTGGTTATTTTTCGATAACTAACAACAGCGATTTTGATTATGAATTTGTTTTATAAAATTCTAAGCTGTTGCACTACAAAAATATAGATTTTAAGAAAATTGCTAAAAGAGATCTGCCAAAATTTATTTTCTAGAAGATTTGAAAAGTTTGAAACTTGATAGCTAAATGTAAATATAAAATTATGCATGTTAAAATATTTGTAATTAGGCACATAGGTCAGATTAAGTTTTTATTAAATATAGTAACGCATGCAAGGGCTATCTGCCTAAAGAGAGAGATGCCATCGTGGAGGAATTTTGAAGAAAAACTGACCTTTGAGTGGGTATTAAAAATAATACTTATAATTTTCATTCAAATTATATTCATATATATTTTTATGTAAAACTTTCGGGTGTATGCTAAATTAGTGTAAATTACTTTACACGAAAAATATAGTGAATGCACAGAAATTAAAGATTTGCACATGCCGGAAATGAAAAATAGGAAATATGTATGGGTATTTATGCATGTGCTTGCAAAAAGCATGTATCTGCCTTTGACAAAATACTTAAATATTCATTAAATTATTTATAAATGTATTTGAAATGAAGAATTTATTCACTTATAAACAACTGTGAAAGTACTGTGAAGAAATCTAATTGATTAAATGTATCTAATTTATAATGATTATAAATGTTATCTAAATATATAATAACCTTAATATTGAATTGTAAACATAAATTGAAATCCTGTTGACAAATACGTTATAAAACTATTTAAGCAAGAATTGTTCGTATTGGAAAGCAATCTGTTAAAAGGTATTGTAAAGCAAATGCTATGAGATGCGCACTTAAGGAAGTAATAAAGAGTTTTGGAATATGTATTGTTGAAATAAAGGGTAAAAAAAATCTGATAAGTATAATTAAAAGAATTATTCCCTTACATTTTATAATAACTCAGTTACAAGTTTTAAATAATACTTAAAAAAAAAAAAAAAAAAAAAAAAAAAAAAAAAAAAAAAAAAAAAAAAAAACTTATTTTATTCCCTTTCAGAAATGTTCAGAAAGACTACTTATTTCGCTAATTCTAATAATTCTCTAATTTAAAATGAACCGAATAGAGAATTAATTATAAATTGACTTACATTTTTGGATTTAAAAGAAGCCAAAAAATCATGTCATATTTAAGAAAGTATTTTAGGAAGAAGCTCTATAAATAGAAAAGAAATAATGCATAATTTTAATATTAATAATACAATAAACTTTGATCTTAATTTTTGTACCTTAACCGAATAAAATCGAATTACCTTAAATTTTTTTTCTAATGTAATTAACGAAAACTTGTGAAAATATTTCATTCAAATTAAACCATTCTGAGAAAACTGTCCTGTGAAAAGTATAGCATTTAATTCCGTTCAGAATGAAATGTTGTTTAAAAATATGTTGTTTTTCACATACTTAGGACTCTGAAGTGTTGTAGAAAAAGAAAATATATACATTTATATGTATATTTGCGACGTAATTACAAAATATTTACACCCGAACGCGTCAAATCCCATAGAACTCAATGGTAAATGACCCAATGTTTTGGTCACCACGTAGGGATCGCCGGTGCTTCAGAGCAGGGTACGGAGAAACTTGTTTAGGGCGACTCCATCTTACTTCCTACCTCCATGGTGGCAGCTGCTGGTGCTGGGGAAGTCTGAGATATGCTCGGTATTTCCCAGAACATCAGATCTTCTATGTGCCGGAGATGTGAAGCCTGCATCAGGGTCCGGGGGTGTAATTTCGAACACCTTCTTTTTGATGACGGTCATTGTCTATTATTGTTCTTATTTCAGGATTTCTGCTGTGCTAAGACGGCTATACAGTATGGTTCCTCACCCTGCTCATATTCTTCCGTTCTTGAGTTTCGTATTGTCACTACTGCAATAGAAAGGCGTTTCCGACCATGCATTGCTATGTAATGTTCCATCGTCTAGGTGTACTTTATCTATCCTGAAAGTTTATCATCTCTGTACTGATACACTCTGTATATTAAGTTGCTGTTTTATGTTGGAGAGTTAAATGCAGTTGAAAGTACTTAAAACTCTTCGTAAACATTTTTAAATTAATTAATTGGTTACATGATATATAATATAGCAACTGATGTATCAATAATGAGCTTTTCTTAGAGTGCTACACTATTTTTGGGTTGCCCCCTATATGATACTTTATATATACCATACAGGTTGAAATACCCTGTGTAAAAAAGATATCAAACCTGGGGGGTTTTAGTATAGTTAAAGGCTATCATATATGCATTCCCTCTAAATAAAAGAAAATTTGTTTTAATGGATAATTATAATATTACTACATTTTTAAAATCGCCACTTAACAAGAATTTTCACTCACCATAGTAGTATAAATAGAATAATAGTACAGGGTGTTCGAGATAAATTTGACATATTTATAATTGATTATATTTTTCCGTAGGTTGGAGGCATTGACACACACTACTCGCCATTTAAAAGTTTGGACCCTTCTTCATTCATATACAAGATGTCAGAAAGGATGGATGACTGGAACCCACCTGAATCATGGAAGAGAGTAACTTGCATCATGATGATTCGTGCCGGCCATCAAAATAAGGATATTATGACTGCTGCCCAATGCTCCCTGAACACAGTGAAAACAATCAGGCATGAACTAGAGACTTGCAATGGTGACTACGAGGATATAGCCACCACCAAAAGTCAAAAATGGTTGTCTGAAAATTTCTACGACTTCACCAGTCCAAATGTTTGGCCTCCAAATTCCTCAGACCTTAACCCCAATGGGGCGCAGTTGAAAAAGACACAAATCGCACTTCCAGTAATACAAAAGCCCAATTAATGGATAAAATTAAAACAGTTTTTGAGGGCCTTCTCAGGGAGACTGTAGCATCAGCTTGTTCGAAGTTTCGAAGCAGGATTGAAGCTGTGATCGATGCTAATGGTGGTTATTTTGAATGAATCTTGTTGATAGTATTGTAACTTACTCCGCCTGTAATTTTTTTTGTCAGTTCATTAAATTTAATAGATACAAAGCGGATTTTCCTTTTCTTTACGAAACTGTCAAATTTATCCCGAACACCCTGTATAACAAGAATAGATAATAGTATAACTAGTACTGGTAACACATAATAGTATAACTAGAATTTTCACTCACCATTTGTTTTCTGCTGGCATCTGGCATGGATGTAATAGAGTAAGGCACCTAGGAAGGCAGTGGCTGACAGAAGCTCAGCTCGACCCACGATGCCACTCACCTAGAAAGAAATAAAAGAACCAACACTGACAATTTAAACTTTTTTTCCTCATCAGTTTAGCAAAATGTATTAAAAATATTTCAACATACATATGTCATATATTCTTCATTTACTGCTGGAAGTAAAATTTTCGTTAGCTATCTCATTTTTAACTTCTTTTTACCTTCAAATGTTCAAAAATTAGTTTCTTAATTAATTTTCGATCTATTTGTTAAGAAAGGGCGCCAGTGGCTTCTTTTCTATCAATTAGATCTTTTTTAAATTTTTATTCTTTTTTCGGATAAGCACATGTTTCTTTCCGCCGTTCTCACTTCCGCAGCTGAAGAGGAAGCTGCTGTTTAACCTACGAAGCTACTATCCTACAAACATTTCACTTTACATCGATTTCCGTTGCTTTATTGGTTTAGTCTTATGTCCTTCGTTTTCTTTTTGTTTTATGATAAAATACATGGTTGTTGAATAATCTTACCATTACATAATTCACAAGAAATAATCAAATGCGGATTTAAATGAAATTTAGAAAGTTGAATGACCTTGAGTGAGGTCAGCCAGCGCATAAATCATCTGCTTCATGTTTTGACACGTGACTTTGTATTATGTAAGTTATATTGATGACGTTTGAAGAAGCATTCACAGATCTGCTTCTCCTTGGGGAAAAGTGAAGTAATCTTTATTTTCCGTGTTTGTCTGATTAATTACTGAAAATTTTAACTTTAGAGTTTATGTTAATTTTAAAATTTCAGAAAGAAGTCATTAACAAACAATGTCCAGAATTAAATTTAAAAATAGGTGCAAAATCCGGAGGATACATCAAAATCCTAATCCAATTTCGAGTATGTACGGTAAAAGAAAAAAAAAAAAAAAACTTAATAAAAAATTAAAATAAAACATTTTTCAAATGACAGAAATATACATAGTTATTCTGTTGAAGACATTCTCTTCCTTTTAAGAAATGTAAAAAAAAACTAATAATAATAAGTATCAAAAAACAATTTTGGGTTCAATAAGACCATATAAATGACTTAATGCCATTGTTACTGAAAATAAACTGTATGTAAAGTATTCTGTGTAGTTTTGATGTTAAATACACTGCAAATTACCAAACCTATTGCACTCAGATACTTTATTCTGCTAATTAAGACACAATAACACGCCGAATAAATACTAATTCAGAAGTCAAACAACAAAAACCAGCGTTATATTTTGAAATTTTTCACAGGACTAGTTTCGATGGTTTTACCGAACCACCATCCTCAGCTGCAAAACCGCAAACGAGAAGATAGGAAATAATGATTAGATAAGATAAGAAAGCTTGGACAACAATATGCAAGTGGCGCCATCTGCTGATGAAACCAGAACAAAAACATAATTCCTTTAAAGGCCGAAAGCAAAGATGGATTGGAATTAGGATCGTTAACTAGAACAGAAAGATTTTTTTGAATGTGAAATGCATCTAGAAAATCCAGTTTATGAGGCATATGTTAGGAAAAAGGAAACACAGAAGTCTTCTGTTGCTCAACATTGTTGGTCCGAAAATCACACTTTCAATTTTTCTGCTGCCAAAATTATTCAAAAAACATCTTCCATTGGAGAACTGGATTTTCTAGAGGCATTTCACATTCAAAAAAAAATCTTTCTTTTCTAGTTAATGATCCTAATTCCAATCCATCTTTGCCTTTGGCCTTTAAAGAAATTATGTTTTAGTTCTGGTTTCATTAACAGACGGCGCCATTTGCTTATTCTTGTCCAGACTTTCTTATCTAATCATTGTTTCCTATCTTGTTCATTTGCGGTTTTGCATCTGAGGATGGTGGTTCGGTAAAACCATCGAAACTAGTCCTGTGAAAATTTTGAAAATATAACGCTGATTTTGATTTTTGTTGTTTGATTTCTGAATTAGACTTTATTCTGCTGTTAGTTCATATCACTTGACGTGAAACAAATCTGTCTGCTGTACAGCAAGAGGGTTGAACTTGATGTAAAAAATTGCTAAAGCGCATAATGTATTTGAAGAATGTCTCATTTTAGACATGAGAATTTTAAGATTGAAATAATTTGTGTTTATTTAAATAATTTAAGACATAACAAATGTTTCCCAGTTTGACTTTCCATTCTTCTTGGGAAGAAGTTAAGACAGTATTTAATTGTAAAGTTCTTCGTCCGGAAATCAAATATTTGTTATAAATCTGAAATGATAATACTTGTCTTGTTAAATTTTCACGCACCTCTGTAAATCGCTAGTTTTATTGGGGCTTCAAATCGAATTCCATTAACAAATTTAAGTATTTTCTGCAAGTTTGAGAATTGAAAAGTGATTGCTTTTATTCCTTTTATACTGTGTTGGATGCTAATGAAAAAAGAGCTTTTTGATCAAACAGATACTTTAACTGTTATAATACACAGATTTCGAATTTATCTCTTTTTGCAGAAAAGTTATTCTTGAAATGTTTAATGACCGTTAAGAAAAATCCCGATATTCAATATAGAACGTTTAGAAAATATTAAAAAGGAAGTATAAATATATAAGGAAGTATAAATATAAAAACGAAGTATAAAAGGAAGTATAAGGTCTTAAGATGCTAGGCTAAAAAGTATCTCCTAAGCCATGCTGAGAAAGAGGAACAGTCTTTCAAATGGAACACTGTTGCCCAACCCAACATTCTTGCCCATTAAGCTCCTAAACTAAGGAAGTATTTCCTAAGCCATCCCGAAAAACAGTGACAGTCTTTGATGTGAAACATTTTTGCCCATTAATCTCATGGATATTAAGAGATAATGGATATTAATATTATAAGTTAAGAGAATATATCCTGAGACATGCCGAAAATGAGTGATAGTCTTTCAAATGGAACATTTTTGCCCTTTAAGCGCATGGATATTAAGAGATAATGGATATTAATATTATAAGTTAAGTGAATATATCCTCACCGATGCCGAAAATGAGTGATAGTCTTTCAAATGGAACATTTTTGCCCATTAAGCTCATGGATATTAAGAGATAATGGATATTAATATATTATAATATTAAGGATAATATTAAGAGGATATATTAAGAGATAATATTAAGGATAATATAAGAGATTATATTAAGAGAATATATCCTGAGACATGCCGAAAATGAGTGATAGTCTTTCAAATGGAACATTTTTGCCGATTAAGCGCATGGATATTAAGAGATAATGGATATTAATATTATAAGTTAAGAGAATACATCCTCACCGATGCCGAAAATAAGTGATACTCTTTCAAATGGAATATTTTTGCACATTAAGCTCATGGATATTAAGAGATAATGGATATTAATATTATAAATTAAGAGAATACATCCTCACCGATGCCGAAAATAAGTGATACTCTTTCAAATGGAATATTTTTGCACATTAAGCTCATGGATATTAAGAGATAATGGATATTAATATTATAAGTTAAGAGAATATATCCTCACCGATGCCGAAAATGAGTGATAGTCTTTCAAATGGAACATTTTTGCCGATTAAGCGCATGGATATTAAGAGATAATGGATATTAATATTATAAGTTAAGTGAATAGATCCTCACCGATGCCGAAAATAAGTGATACTCTTTCAAATGGAATATTTTTGCACATTAAGCTCATGGATATTAAGAGATAATGGATATTAATATTATAAGTTAAGAGAATACATCCTCACCGATGCCGAAAATAAGTGATACTCTTTCAAATGGAATATTTTTGCACATTAAGCTCATGGATATTAAGAGATAATGGATATTAATATTATAAGTTAAGTGAATACATCCTCACCGATGCCGAAAATAAGTGATACTCTTTCAAATGGAATATTTTTGCACATTAAGCTCATGGATATTAAGAGATAATGGATATTAATATTATAAGTTAAGTGAATACATCCTCACCGATGCCGAAAATAAGTGATACTCTTTCAAATGGAATATTTTTGCACATTAAGCTCATGGATATTAAGAGATAATGGATATTAATATTATAAGTTAAGAGAATACATCCTCACCGATGCCGAAAATAAGTGATACTCTTTCAAATGGAATATTTTTGCACATTAAGCTCATGGATATTAAGAGATAATGGATATTAATATTATAAGTTAAGAGAATATATCCTCACCGATGCCGAAAATGAGTGATAGTCTTTCAAATGGAACATTTTTGCCCATTAAGCTCATGGATATTAAGAGATAATAGATATTAATATTATAAGTTAAGAGAATATATCCTCACCGATGCCGAAAATGAATGATAGTCTTTCAAATGGAACATTTTTGCCCATTAAGCTCATGGATATTAAGAGATAATGGATATTAATATTATAAGTTAAGAGAATATATCCTGAGCCATGCCGAAAATGAGTGATAGTCTTTCAAATGGAACACTGCAAAGCTATCAAGGGCCTGAGTACGGCCGAGCGTAATAACAGCTTTGAGAGAGAGTGAGTAGCCAAAAAGGCGGACGCGCACAAATCTGAAACTCTGATTCTCTCTCCAACAGCAAATAGAACTTAGCGGTTAAACACCGCATTTCCTCATTTTGTATTCAGACGTGATTCTAAAACTATGTTCTGGCCGAAAGTAGTAAGTTGAAGTTAAGAATTTGACAGGAAAGGATTTTAACTCAAAATTTAACTGTTAATAAAATTAACATAAACCTTACAACGTTACAGTTTTAAAATTAAGAGGTGATTTGGAGAGATTTGCGATACTACTTGTATGTAACTTAGCTTATGGATCGAGCATAACATTTATTAGATAAACTTTCTGACCCACTAATGCTAATGATATATTTATATTTTCTGTTACTTTATTACCTAAAATTATCACTTTTTATTGTTATTTCAACTGAAAAACACTTGAAAGCACTCAGAGAGAAAAATAGGTCACAAGAGAATTTCGGTTATACAGTTATAACAGCATACGGCCGGAAAAAATCCCAATCTTTCAGAAAATTCTAAAAGCATGCTTAAACACAAAAAGAACTTCAGCTCTACC